AAACAAGGTGAAATGGCTGAATGCCATATTAGCAAATTTGACTAAATGCATGAATTAACAGAACTTTAATTTAGCTATAGTACCACCAATCTCATGTGACAATATATTTTATTTTAAATTAAATTTGAATAAGCAAAGTAATTCTGAATTCTGTATTTTCACAGCAACATTGAACTCCATGTAAAAAGTATTAAATTCTGAATGAAAACTACTTCCAATGAAAGCTTATTTTCTTCTTGCTTTTGCTAGCCAATAAAAAGATTTGACTTGGATGCTGCTATCATATTCTCGGACATTCTTGTTATACCACAAGCATTGGGACTTGAAGTGCAAATGATTCCTGGCAAGGTAAGATATTTATAACAATTATACGCCTTGACTGAAGACTATATCACTGAGGCCAATAACAGCCATTTGGGGATAATTATTGATATTGGACAAGGACAATAACTATTTTATTAACCAAAAGAGAACAAGGCAATAAGTGATGTAAAACTGTGAGCTGAAATGCAATATTTCTGAATTGAAATTAAAATTAGCCCCAGTGGAGAAACGTATGGAAAATGTCATCGATCTTTTTATCTTCTGCAACAGTCCTGTGTCCCTGACTTTATGACATCAGAGGCCAATAACACACTGTGATGTCAGAGACTAGAAATAAGCTGAGATAGGTCAATATCAATATTTATCAAGACCAATAGCGTTGACAGATAATAATGTATATTGCACAGTGTATAATAAGTGATGATTAAAGCAGAAATCAGATTAAATTTTTGCTCAAAAATAATTGCTCTAAAAGTAGCATATGGACTTGGGTAAATTCCAGAGGTATTCTACGGTCAAAATAAGTAATATTTTAATGACTGAGTATACAACAAATGTTATATTGGGGATGTGAATATAGAGCAAATACAGTATTTAAAATGTCATTTGATGCATCTAATTATTTCATGTGCTATGTCTCACTCTATCTGATGAGATACAAGACAATTACCGGTAACACTTATCATCTATCTGACATAAAATAGAGGTAATATTTCAGAGTTGTATCGTATCTTTTACATAGTAATAAATAATAAATATTTTTGGGTTTCTGGACTGGAATTAAGACCCTAGGGGGTTTAAAGATTTTGTTTGATGACAAAAGTAAAAGTTAGATACAAACCAGTGTATACATGCATTTCATTTTGTTACTTTGTGTATTCTTTTTTATTAGGGGCCAACATTTGATGATCCAATCACGAAAGTGTCTGACCTTGGGAGACTGAAGAAGAATGTTGATGTCAACGAGAGTTTAGGTTATGTATTTGAGGCTATTTCACTCACACGCCATAAATTGGAAGGAAAAGTGCCTCTAATTGGCTTTGCAGGGTCACCAGTAAGTTTGCTGTTTCATTCTCATCTAAATAAATGAATAAATAAATGGTCGCTGCTCTGAAATTCAGAGGCACATAATAAAAGCTTGAATTATGGAGATAAATAGGGAGATCCATATAACCAATGTGTAACCATTCTGAATATGACCAAACAGCGCCCTCTATATAATATCGTACTTCCCCAAGTATAAGCCCACCCCTCTGTTTTTGGACATTAAACGAGTTGCGGGCATCCCAGAGTATAGGCCCAGGGTGTTTTTAACGGGCGTCGACGACATTTATTGAAATATGCATGTAAAAAGTGTATTTCATTGCATTAAAATCATGATTGGTACGGTAATTTGGTTCCAGCTTTTACGAGAAAACTCGCATTAAATTCAGAGTGCATGGCGGTAGATCGTACATAGTTCGCACGTTTTCTATTCTGTTATTTACTTGGGATCAACCCCGATGTTGCAATACTGAAATAATCCATATTTCTTTTGAGTAGTAGTTTTCCAAACGGCAAAAATGTGATCGTCAAGTCGTGAAATCTGGTCACTATCATAGTTTTACTTTTCCGAATAATCTTGTCCATTGAGACTATCGTGAATGGGGTGTGAACGAGCAAACTATTCTTCGACATGACTTGTTGGCAGCCGTAAAAGGTTTAAATACTTCCCTCATCCTCAGTTTACCTTTCGAAAATTGCGAATCAACAGCTTTTAGGGAAAAAGTCACCGTTTTTTGTCGAAATCAGTGTTAACAGATCGCATTTTAACATCGCAGTAATACACTTCCGCATTTTGTTGATAAAAATACTTCGTCAATAATTGGAAAACTTTGACTGTATGACAGAGCATTTTCATTGGTTAACGAAAGACGTGACCTGTTAGGTCAAAGGAAGTTGTTTAGGTCAAATTATGATGAAACTATGGCGGAAATACATGTAGCTTTGTATCGTAAGTTTGCGTTTGATTTTGCCTTTGACCGTTTTCTCACAGACCCTACCCATTTTTGCACCGTAAATTCAGACGGTATGTGAACCGTATTGTAATAACATTTTTGTTTTTTGTTCATATTTGTTTCTTCATTGTAAAAAGCAGTGTTGAAATCAATGACGGCTCGTTTCGCATTTTTGTTTTCTAAAAAAGATGTAATATCCCCCCGAGACCGGCGTTTTGAACGAAAAATGTAATTTGGATAATGTTTCGAGGCTGGGAAGATGGTTACAGTGTTATACGCAACAAAAAATTATTTTTTCTGAGGTGGTCCTCGAGTATAAGCCCACCCCTTATTTTTTCTCGATTTTACATGTTCAGGCCCCTGGGCTTATACTCGGGGAAGTACAGTATATGTAATTCTTAGTTCGCAGTTTAGTACACTG